CATACTGTTGCGAGCCGGTGTGGACTCGACCTAACCTCACAATATGGCCCACCCTCGGATGACCTTAACATCGCATAGACACCGCAATGATTCATTCGTTCGAGAAGAATCGAGACCCACTAGAATGGACTAGTACATACGAGAACATTCGAAAACCTTCTCTATGCGCCTAACGATCTATGGACTATTCTAGATTTCTTTTGCTGTAGGTATAAAAACCGGCGGCAGTGGCCTAGAGAGGGCAGTTATAAATATACAGTTGACGCGCTAAAATGAAAAATAAATTCTTAGTTATAAATCGTTTGTAAATAGTTCTATAAGTCTTTTATCGTTATTATTTCTGTTAATTAGTGTTAAATAAATAGTGTTTAAATAAATTGTGACTTTCTATCCACACGGAACCGACGAAAAACGTAACAATTGGTGTCAAGTGTGGCGTGTGTGATAGACTAGGAAAATAAAAAGACAGACAATGGCTCCGAAAAAATTGTTGAAAGACTTGAAAGTGTCCGAACTGAAATGCATATTGGAAGAGAGAGAGTGCGAGACAGATGGAAAGAAACGCATTTTGCAAGCTAGACTGAGAGACGTTTTGGTGGAGGAAGGCGAGGATCCTGACACATTTTACTTCGAGCTGGAAGTGACCTTGACTCGTCATTGAAAAATTTACAAGACAATTTAAACGACAATTTGAATAGTTTAAATAGTAAAATAATTGACTTGGAAGTTAATTTAGAAGAGAAAATCAGTGATAAAATTATGGAAAATTCGCAGGATTTAATCAATACATTAGAAGATAAGATCATCGAAAATTCTAAAGATATACAGGCCAGCTTTAATAATAAAATACTTAATTTAGAAGAAAAGATAACAGAAATCCAGGAATCTTCCAGGGAATTAGAAGAAAAGATTATAGATAATTCTACAGAACTACAAGACAAAATAACACAAATTGAGGACGATGTAAATAAAAAAATCGAAATTTTAAAACAAGAAATAGAAAAGGCCAATTCACCAAAATGTCAAGAAACATCGGAGGCACCGAAACTAGTCGAAAATAAGTATATCTCAAAGTCAGTTATTAAGCCTCCACAGTTTGACGGAAAAACCGCTTGGGCCAATTATTTTTGCCAGTTTGAGGCCGCTGCGAGAGCGAACGGATGGACAATCGCTGAAAAGGCTACCGCTTTGACTGTCGCACTGAGGAGATGCGACTGATATCTTGCAGACATTGTCACCATCGGAACAGGGAGATTATCAGCAATTGGTACGACATTTAGAAATGAGGTACGGCCAAGCTCATTTGGAACATGTCTATCATTCCCAGCTAAAAAATCGCATTCAAAAGTCAAATGAGTCTCTGCAGGAGTTTGAAGCCGACGTAGCCCGCCTCGTTCGCCTTGCGTACCCTGCTATGCCCGAAAATGTTATGGAGCGCTTAAAAGTACAGGCTTTTATTGATGGTTTATGTGACAACGAGACAAGGCAAACACTTCTTTTAGCTCATCCAACGCATTTGGGAGATGCCCTAGCACGTGCCCTGGAATTTGAGGCCGCGAAAGAATGCTCTAGGTCTCTAGGATTTGTACGGGCTGTTGAGGAGAGTTCCGACGATTCCAAAGTGGAAAGGATTGTGCGGAAAGTACTGGATCAGTATATGAGTAAGAAGGGGGGACCGATTCGCTGTTGGAATTGCGGACAGATGGGAAATCGTTGCAAAGAAGAGAAAGAAGTGAAAGTCTTAAGGACGACTGTGGTTGGTGATAGTTGGCAAACCGAAGATCTTGCAAATGACCAAATCAGTGATCCAGAGTTGGGCTTGGTGATTAACTGGAAAAACGCGGACCAGAGACCAACGTGGGAGGAAGTTTGCAGATATTCGCCGAACATGAAGTCGTACTGGTCCCAGTGGAATTCATTGTAATAGATAACGGACTACTTCGCCGTGTGAGCGAGAGACCGGAGGGACAAGAAGAGAGAAGGCAGATCGTCATTCCAAAGAAGAGGGTCCCAGAAGTCTTGGCGGAAGTTCACAATGGAACCAGCGGTGGGCATCTTGGTGTTACCAAGACACTTGGCAAGCTGCGTGAACGGTTCTACTGGGTGAACTGCAAAGAAGATGTGCGGGCCTGGTGTAAGAAATGTGACATTTGCGCAGCCATTAATGGGCCACAAAAGCGTGGTAAAGCCCCTATGCGCCAGTACAATGTTGGTAGTCCCTTCGAACGAATAGCGATCGACGTGGCTGGTCCTTTCCCGGAGACGAACGATGGCAACAAATACATTGTGGTAGTAATGGATTACTTCAGCAAATGGGTCGAGGCCTACGCGTTGCCAAATCAAGAAGCGTCCACGATTGCTGATGCCCTTGTTAAAGAATGGATCTGCAGGTTTGGTGTTCCCATGGAGCTTCATTCAGATCAGGGAAGAAACTTTGAGTCCAATCTGTTCCAAGGCGTCTGTGAAGTCCTGAACATCCGCAAGACCAGGACGACTGCTCTACATCCACAATCCGATGGGATGGTTGAACGCATGAACAGAACTATCAACCGTTATCTGGCCAAAGTAGTCTCTGACCACCAAAGAGACTGGGACAAATTTCTTCACCTGTTCCTGTTGGCCTACCGTTCATCCGTCCAAGAATCTACAGGGCAAACTCCAGCCAGCATCGTTATGGGACGGGAAGTGCGCCTACCCTGTGATCTGAAATTTGGTTGCCGACCGGGAGAAGAAGTCGCCGGAGAAGATTATGTCCACACACTACGTCAAAGGATGGACGACATTCATCAGAGAGTCCGCCTAAATATTCAAAGTGCTAGTGACCGAATGAAGGAACACTACGACATTCAAGCTGAGCATGGAGGATACCAACCAGGGAAGTTGGTGTGGCTATATAACCCGCAGAGACGTCGTGGGTTATCTCCGAAGCTACAATCCTCGTGGGAAGGGCCATACGAAGTCATGGATAGAATTAATGACGTCGTATACCGTATCAGAAAATTGCCAAAAGGAAAACCGAGGGTAGTCCATTTCAACCGTTTGAGCCCCTACCAAGGCGAAATAGAAGATCGTGCTGGGACCGTGAGAACCTGCAGCTTTGATCCCCCTGATTCGGAGATGTCCTTTGACGATTTCATGGCCCGATACAACAGCAGTGAGAAGGCTCGCTATGGTGTAACCAAAGAAGATCAACGAGACCTCTTTTCCGTGCCTCCTGATTATTCGCTCGCTCATTGTGTGGCTCGAGATTTGCGGATGTCCAGAGGAATCGCTGCGACGTTCAATGAGAAGTTTGGGCGTGTCGGAGAACTACGCCGACAGGATCCAGAGGTTGGAAGCGTCTTGAGGCTAACCGACAATGCACATGGTCAAGCAAGGCACATCTTCTACCTGGTCACCAAGGAATGGTCCCCGAGTAAGCCGACTTATCTCAATCTATGGAAGACCCTGATTGAACTGAGAGAAGCCCTGCTAAACAACAACATTGCACGATTAGCCATTCCGAAGCTGGCGTGTGGACTCGATGGTTTGAGTTGGCGTACAATCCGGAACATGATTGAAGTCTTGTTCAGATTTACGGGAATCGAGATCCTCGTTTGCTGCTACAACCCAAAGCTGAGATCGGGAGAGAAAACTGTAGACTGCTATTTCTACCAGACTTCGCAATGTACCAGGGGCCAGCTTTGCAAATACCTTCATTCACCGTATAATCTCGGGACGAGCATGTGCCTAAGAAGGGGCAGTGTTGCGAGCCGGTGTGGACTCGACCTAACCTCACAATATGGCCCGCCCTCGGATGACCTTAACATCGCATAGACACCGCAATGATTCATTCGTTCGAGAAGAATCGAGACCCACTAGAATGGACTAGTACATACGAGAACATTCGAAAACCTTCTCTATGCGCCTAACGATCTATGGACTATTCTAGATTTCTTTTGCTGTAGGTATAAAAACCGGCGGCAGTGGCCTAGAGAGGGCAGTTATAAATATACAGTTGACGCGCTAAAATGAAAAATAAATTCTTAGTTATAAATCGTTTGTAAATAGTTCTATAAGTCTTTTATCGTTATTATTTCTGTTAATTAGTGTTAAATAAATAGTGTTTAAATAAATTGTGACTTTCTATCCACACGGAACCGACGAAAAACGTAACAATACCTTAATTAAATTACATTTATTTTAATAGTAAAAACTAAAAATGTAATAAAATACAGTGTGTTCCATTTAAAAAAGATACTTTGATATTTTTTATTCATTTGGGACACTCTGTACGTTTTGCAAATAATTTTAAAGTGTAGCTTTAGTGGTCCATCAACAATCTCATCACTCATAATTTCCACAAATCTAATCATTTGGCTACAATACTCCGTGTCGAATAGCGTAAACAACCTTGTATATTTTTTAACTGATAGCTAATGTCAGGCAATTTTTCTCCTAAAAAATAAATATGACGAATGAAATTTTGTTAGTTAGTGGTCAAACTTAATAGTATAAGAAATATCTCACAAGTAAGTTGGTAAAAATCATCCATGCAATTAGGAAATACTTTTGGAAATACTGTATTTAGTATAATATATACGCCGCAATTTGGAATTATTGGAAAAATCAAATTTGGGACTAAAATTAAATACTTAATGGTCATTTCTTTTGAAAAAAAAATCAAAAATGTCCAAATCAGACTAATAGTTCTAAAACAAAAGCAAATGTCCATATTTCCGTATACCTCAATCCACTGCGCCGCGCCGTTAGAATTGTATTAAAAGTAATAAATAGAACACACACAATTCGCAATTTGATAATAGTTCGAGGTCTCTCTCGGGTTCTTACATAATTTTTTAAGAAAGAGTATAAGTATTTACTAATCTAATACATATTCTTAGCTTAGAGGTGGACGCTTTCTGAAAATATATGATTTCTTGTATATCATCCGGTATGAGATTTTTGCTGGACAGATTATAATACAGGTATAGAGAGCAAACGGCAGATTTTTCTTGTAGCATATTGGATTGGCGGTTTCTATCAAAGCGACCAAGAATTTCTACCACGCTGGATATGGCTCGAAACAGGAGAGTCTTTGAACTATACGAATTGGTACGTGGAACCAACATCTACTTTATCACCCGATATTACTACTATTCCAGTTACTACATCTCCTACTCCAAAACCACCAGATTCTAATATCTGCCTGAAGAAAAACGACTTCGTGAATCACAACGGCGAATGGACCGCTGAAAATTGTGGTACCGAACTGGAATTCATCTGTGAAACGTCCTGAAACATAAATAAATAAACATTAACTAAATCATGGTCTTTTATTTTTCATTAAAATAATGATAATCTCGAAATATCCGGCTTTTAGAACAATAATTAATAGTTGAAGGATTTTATTACACAGGTCGACAAATTCAAACTTTGCATTTCTAACATTAGTGACAATAGCTGATTATATCAAACTAGTTGGATGGCCAGTTCACCTAAATTAGGCATCACGCGACAAAGTTTTGATGTTTTATTTGGTCGACTGTGCGGATAGTGCGACACCGTTGCTGAGGACCTTGAAAGAAAACTCGAAATTTGGCCCCCATATACGAACATAAACATTTCCAATGTTAAAAAGCAACTTTATAGAGCAAGTCGTTAGTTTAGTAGAGATGACACAGATAAACATTAGCATTTTATATACCACGTGTTGCATCGTCGTTGGGAACATAGGAAATCCCATGCAAAATTTGAACTGTCCAGATATTGGCTGCATTCAGCAGACGCCACCGATTAGTAATCGATAACTAATCATATTCTGAATGCACCTAAAAATTTCCGATGACTAATCGCCGATTGGTAATCGGACGCCATTTTTACAATCGTTCTCAAAGAGCGATTTGTGATTAGCGATTACCGATTTGTTTATATAAAAAGTGTTAACAATATGACAATCTCTAAATGGCATGCAAGATTATTTATAGAAGAGAATACTTTTGATGCATTTGTTATTATTTATTTCGTAGTTTTATAAATTTGTAAAAAAAATATTAGTGTAAAAATTAAAGTAAAAAAAAAATAAATATTATTTATTAAATACACAAACAAGATAAATGAAAATGATATAAATAAATAAACTATTATATAAAAGTCAAAAACCATATCAAAAATTAAATAAAAACTAGTGCCCTCTCCCGTTAATCGTAGAAATTATAAAAAGGCATTCAGAAAAATTACAAATCGCAAGAAAACGATTACTAATCGTAAATGACCGATTACCAATCGGATTCCGTCTGCTGAATGCAGCCATTGGCTCCCCTATGGATTTTATAGCGAAGTCGTAAATAGACTTTTTAAAGGTTTACATTTGGTAAACACATATGCCAAATTTGAAGAATTTTGGACAAGTCGATTTTAGGTAATTTGAGAAAAACTTAATTGATTTTTGATATTAAAACCGAATAGGTAACAATCAAACATCAGTCAAAAACTGACATAACTTAGGTTTACAAACTATGATTTTGTCATTGTCAAAAGTAATTTTAATAAAATTTTAATATTTATATATTATTATATCTTGGTTGTATTTAAAGGCTTCGATTGGATAACCGTTTCTAACCAATCGAAGTCTTCAAATTCAACCAATAAAATTAATATCGTATCATTGTATCGTCGGACAACGGATGCATGAAAATGAGGCTTAAGGGCGTTGGGATCCGTGAAAATAATCTTGTGAAATCTCTCTCATTGTTCATCACTGACTTCACCAAGATTATCGAGAAAAAATTCAAATGCGAATTCAAAAGAATTTTTAGGGACATCCGAGTAACTGATAGGCATCTAAAACTTCTTGTACGAGTAATTCATAGTTTTCTTCTTTTTATTACCTTACCTTTAATTACATTTATAAGGGAGTTTCAAGCTCTTAGTTCTTTTTGACTGAGTTTCTCTTTAAAGGCGGGCTCTTTAAGGGGCTTTGTTAATTGAGGCCAAATAAAAATACCCTCTTTAAGCTTGGCATCACTGATTTGTGGAAAAAATCTTTTCAAATATTTAAATCCTTTACTTTCAATGTCCATGGTCATTACAAAATTTTTAATCAGTCCCGATTTAATATGGAGAGGTGCAAGAAGCAGGCTTGGGATCAGCAAGTGTCATTCTTTTTTTACAAAATGTTCCTTTGTTGCTCGACTATCCCACAAATACAAAAAATAACTTCGTAAAACCATAATATACCTATAACATGAGGAACAGGTCCTGCAAATGGCAAGTTTGGATACTCAATTTGTCTTTCTGTTTCTTTGATAACCTTTAACATTTGTTAAACAGAAATAGTAGTCATTAAAATGATTAGTAGGTCCTCTCCATATCATAGAAACAACAAGTTTTTCTCTGGCCTTTCAGCCTCTGAACCAGATTCACACTACAACTTATACAGCAGACATGACGAGCCCAAGACTGATCTTGATCCCAAACTTTACAACCGAAATAAAAAAGTAAGCTTTTCTAACTTCTTGCGAAATTGGTCTAACTTTTGATTTAACAATAAATCGACAACAAATATAACAAAACTTATCTGGTAAATTTTCGCAAGATCGAAGCACAAAAGTTACCATCTGAGACCTTTTTTCACTAGAAAACTTTCTGTCCGAATAATCTATCGATTTTATAGTTGCGTACGGTGTCTTTATTTATTCGACTTGTAAATAAATGTATTGCTCTGGGATGGTTAGTTTGAGAAAAACTTAAAAAAAAGAACTTTTTAAAAATACCAATAAGTGACATACTGCCCGTATACAAGTAGCTAAATAAAATTGTGATGTGATGGGTGCATTTAGCAAACATTTATGTAATTAGACAATAAAAATAGACATAAAAACGCTTTTTTGGTCCATGATAGAAAAACCTTGTCGACCAGTGTTATTAAATGATAATAACGAATTGGAGGATATGATCAATACTATGAAACGGCATTATTCCAAAGATCCTTTACGTACAATATTATTGCGATTTACATGTTAATGCATTAAACAAGGCTGGAACTTGATCAGTTATGCTGTATTTCCAGTCTTTTTGTAATTTGTATATTTTTCTTTTCTTTATGTTTTTGTATATTGTGTTTTATAATTCTGTTTTTTGTATCTAATCTATGTACAGGGTGGGTCAAATTCGACGCTTTTAAATGGAAACACCCTTTTCTATAGGAGATAGACGAAAACTAATATCGGTGTCTGGAGCTCAATTTTTATCAAAAACATGATGGTGAAAACCGTACATCAATATCTGTTACCGTTTCGGAGTTACGGGGTGTTTTTCAAAAATGTGCATTTTTAACAAATCGCTGTAACTTTTTTGCTATGGAAAATTTTGTATTTCTATGAAAACATTTCCAAAGCACCTTTTTATGTAGAATTTAATGGTTTAAGTATAATTTTTTTTAAATTAATAATTTAAGAGTTATCAACAGAAAAATTGATTTTTTATTTGGAACACCCTCTATATTTTTAATTAACTGAAAAGAATTTAAAATTACCTTACCGAAAATATAGCACACTTGCTATTTTGTTATAATTCCCTTCGAAATACAGAATTTTTAAAAGTTCGCCACTTTTAACTAGTAGGCTTTGGACCCCTTATTGATGATATGCCCTTAATGGAACTCGAAAACATATTTTTCCAGCGAGACGACGCACCGCCTCTGAGCGCTGAAGTTATTAGCAAATTTTTGCATCCAATTTCAACAATAATTGAATAGCTAACCAAGATTCCCGCCGTCGAGGCCGCCTGACTTAGTGCCCATGGATCTAATCCTATGGATATATTTGCGGAAAAATAAAGGTTCCTTATTCTTCCTTATAATCTAGACAAGAATTAGAAATACTGAGCAGTTATGAGAGGGTATCTTTCACCCCCACTGAGTTAATGAATTCCGCGAGAAATATTCAAAAACTGCCCCGTCTGTCCATAACAGAAGACGGTCGATATGTCGAACACCTGTAGCAAAATCTCATGTCTTGGTTTGCTATTTAGTTTTATTGTTATTAGATATAGTTTAAATGTGTTGATGTTGGTTAAATATATTTTAAATAGTTATAAAATTCTGAATCTCTCATAGCAAATATTATTTTCGTTTTAATTGATGCTCAAAGCTAGATTTTTTTGCATTACAGCCGGTGCCGTTCAAAGCCTACTACTATTTAAAGCGGGCGAATTTTTATATACTCTATATCTCGAAGAGGAATCGAGCAAAATATCAACTGTGTTATATTTTTGGAAAGGTAATTTTAAATTCTTTTCAATATATTAAAAATATACAGGGTGTCCCATATAAAAAATCAAATTTTCTGTTGATAACTCTTAAATTATTAATTTTAAAAAAATTATACTTAAACCATTAATTCTACGTAAAAAGGTGCTTGGGAAATGTTTTCATAAAAATACAAAATTTTCCATAGCAAAAAAGTTACAGCGATTTGTTAAAAGTGCATATTTTTGAAAAACACCCGTAACTCCGAAACGGTAACAGATATCGATATGCGGTTTTCACCATCATGTTTTTGATAAAAATTGAGCTCCAGACACCGATATTAGTTTTCGTCTATCTCCTATAGAAAAGGGTGTTTCCATTTAAAAGCGTCGAATTTGACCCACCCTGTACACAAATTACAATAAATTTTCTTCTTCTTCTTCTTATTATTATTAAACCGGGAGATCCTAGAATATTTCACAAAATTTCTCTACCTACTAGTGGGGCTCCATCCCAAGTAGCATTTTTGGACACATTTCAGATAATGTTTCTAATAATTGTGTCTGTTTCTTGACCCAAAATGGAAACGGTATGCCACAAATAGGAAACATTTTCGAAACCTATATATTTCTTATATGGCTTTATCACAAATGTTTCGATGCGGAATCAAAACTTTTCGAGGAAAGGTCTCGATATATTTTCTGCAATTTGTGTCCAAGATGTTCCCGTTTTCAGCAGCCACTGTTTCTAAATATGAATAAACAAAATACCAAACTAAAATAGTCTGTCTGTGTGTGGATTTCAAAATGAAAACAACCATTAACGTGGACCTCGGCCATATTTTTTTGTCTTAAAATCTTTGTTTTTAGGTTTTCTCGCATAAAAAATGTCTGGCCAAAGCAAATTCATCGTTTAATTTAATAATGTACTTTCATATTTGTAATACCCCTTCTATATATATATCATTATTTGTTGCTACAAACTATTTTTGTTCGAAATATAGATTTTTATTTTTATTTCTATATCTTGGACCAAGATTCTTGTAAAAAATGTGGCTATATCTATGTGGCGGATTCA